ACATATGAGTAAATATATATATAGCTATATATGGGGGCTTTCTTTGATTCCTTTGAGAGCGAAGCAGAGAAAAAAAGGGAAGCAACCGAAAAAAAAACCATTTAAAAAAAATACACACAAACAACGAATGGATACAAAAGAAATTAGAGGAACCTGCATTTCCTCCGCTTGGTCGGCTCTGGCGGCTCTAAGGCGGCCAGAATTGCCTCATCGAATACATTCTTCAGTCCCTTCTGCGTGAGGGCCGAGCATTCAACATATTTGACTGCCTTCAGCTCCTTGGCCAGCTTCTCGCCCTGCTCGGATGTGATTGGCTTTTGTTTGTTCTTGGCCAGTTTTTCCAACGTGCTCGTCTCGTCGCGCAAATCGATTTGTGTGCCAACCAGCAGGAACGGCGTCTTTTGACAATGGTGCGTTATCTCGGGCACCCACTGTAATAGAAGACAATGATATATTATATTAATGCTCCTACACTCTTACCCTCGCTTTCGCTGTCTTTGCTTACCTTCTCTTTGACATTCTCAAAGGAACTGGGACTGACCACCGAGAAGCAGACAAGAAAGACGTCCGTTTGTGGATATGACAGTGGACGCAATCGATCGTAATCCTCCTGGCCGGCGGTATCGAAGAGTCCCAGCGTATACGGCTCACCGCCGATCATAACGGTCACCGCATAATTGTCAAATACAGTTGGCACATACTCTGATGGAAATTTGTTGGTTGTGTACGATATAAGCAGACAGGTCTTGCCCACGGCTCCATCGCCAACTACCACGCACTTGATGGTTTGCATGCCGTAAGAGTTATTTTTTACGCGATTTCTGCGAATTCCAAAACATATATCAATACATGCTACTTATGATAAATCGAAGCAAGCCGTAAGCACTCAATATGCAAGGTTCATCTGTCGACACGCATGTCATATGCCTAAGAGCGACGCCAGATCAATTGCCAAGCTTCACAAGCTCCACTGTAGGCCAAAGAGTCAAGTGATTCATACAGTTAAGATTGCCAAAGCATGCTCTCTATAGGCTATTCTCTTCACTGGTTTCACTGTAGCCCATACAGTCATGTGTGTAAATATGCATACAAATGTATGGGTGTGTGTCTGTGTGCCCTCTCATATGGCTTAATTACTTTCGCAAAGAGGCGCGTGGGCGTGGAAATAAGGGAAGGCCCTTGCCCGGCCAAGTGATTGTCAAGTTCTTCAGCCGCAGGGTGGTTAAATATCAGAATGGGCGAGGGTAGGAGATGAGAGGGGGTGCATTGGCTCATTTGGGAGTGCGCTTTGTTATTATCAACACACACCCAAACACAAACACTCACACATATTATTTACAAAAGAAACACATACATATGTATGTGTAAGTATCTGCAAAAACACTTCATATCAGTGGCGAGACGCATATTGCCATTTACTTGTAATTTTATTATATTTTATTTTTTTTGCCTAACTATTGTCTTATCTATGCGTGTGAGTTGTATTTGTGGAACTTTGTACACAGAGAACACACACTTACACTTACATCCTACTATTCACACACACTCATGAGACAGCCGGGTATCGTCGTCGCAGTCGCCGTCACCGCCGGCTTCCTTTTAATGGAGCATAAAGCAGAGAGCCGCAGGCAAAGGCGATGACTCAAGCTGTGCATGTGTGCGTGCAGAATAAAAGAAAAATAAAGAGAGAAAAAACAACACCAGGCATTCACACACACATACACAAAGTGCCTAGATAAGCGCGCAGGCAGTTCTAATATGAAATATGCAGTGGCCCCTGCCATAACCGAATCACACATACACACACACATTGATAGCGTTTACGCATGCATATGTATTTAAGTGCGCGCGTGTGTGCCTTAAACGTAGTTTTGCTGCAGCCAATATGCTAATTTATTTTGACACAAATGCACTTGTGTATAAATATACACACATACATGCATGCAGGCACATGCATATGCGCATATTGTTTTGCATCGCCCACACACGCACTCACACGTACGGGGAGTTTATAATTAATAGAAAGCCAGGCAAAACGAAATGCACAAATTATGTTCACATTTCGAAAATTTTGCCAGCAGCAAGAATAAATTTGAGCCAATCGTTTGCAGCAACACACACTGACGTACACTCATACACACAGACGCACACTGACGTATAAAGCAGACACTAGCAGCTAAAGCAGTCATCGTTAACATTTTTTGTCACTTTTCACTCGACAGAATTTTCTCTTTATTGGCGCACCAGATGTATTGGTTTAGATTTTTGTTCAGTTAATAAAGACATGCCCTTGCGTTGGCTTACGAAATTTTACTTACAACTGATCTAAATTGAAATCGGCAGATATATTTGTTTAGTTTTCGCTATTTTTTTGGGCTGGGTTGGGCGTCGATTCGTATAGAAAACTACTATTTTTCTTTTGTGTGGTCGTTCTTTGCAGCAATAGTAATCTGTATGCGTGCGAATGACGAAGCACAGGGTTGCCACTGCGACAATCGCTATCGTAATTTTGACGTTTATAAATGGCAGCACTATAATACAATGTTGCCACTCCGATTAAATGCAACTCTCTCATCTGTCATCTAGAATAAGAATAAGAGAGGAGGAGGACCAGCGACAACAAAGTGGGCGACCAATATTACAATCGCCAGGCACTGAGCAAAAAAGTTTCAACCGACTGGAATGACATAAAAATGGCTGGGTTCTTAAGAAGCAGGTATGAAATTTATTAACCAATAATTAAGTAAATCAACCAATCGAGTAATGTCAATTACGACTTAATGCAGTCATGCGCATGCATAAATTGAGAAACGTACATATGTATGCAAGAACACCATTACAGTGACCTGCAGTTTATTTAATTCATGGCCAAATTTTTTCATCAATACAG